AGAAAAAAAAAATTCACATTGATAAATATCTGGGGGGAGGATATTCTCACTATTTGAAAGAAAGCCTTTGGAGTACAATCGCAATTTGTAGTAATGGGCATGCTGCCAGTATGTATCTGGCCTTCACATCTTGGGCACAAGGGGTGACAATCAGCTTTGTATCTCATGAATATTCATAACCAATAAAAGTAACAAACAAACAAATAAATAAATTCCAATTTGTTCTCTTTAAAAAAAAAAGATAGAAACCCTTGTCTAGTTTTTTTGAGATAAGCTAAGTGTTTAATAATGAAAGCAAAGGTTGGTGGGTTAGCTCAGTTGGTTAGAGTGCAGTGTTATAACTTCAAGGTCAAAGGTTCAGATTCCCATGCAGCCATGGGGGAAAAACAGGTAAGAATATTTTAAGTAGGAACTCATTTCCCTGGGGTTTAGAGTACCTCAAAAGTAGGAAAAGTTTCTTGTTCTTTTTGGTTTTTGTTTTGAAGCTAGAAGCAACTTTGTATTTTTACCAATGCAAGTCACACAACTCTTGCTTGAAGTGTTTGCAGGGACACAAAGAATCTGAGTCCTTAGTAGAAAGACAATTACATATCAACTATTTCTGCACCTGTAGGATTCATTTCAACAAGAAAAACATAAAAACGGACATTCCTGTGGGTTTACTATTTTTTTCCCCCAAATGAGCATCTAGCAAATGATTACTCTTTTGGGCTTTTTTGTTTAAAAAAAAAAAAATGTAAAAATCGTGCTGATGAAATGAAGTCTGGCAATCTAAAATCTCAATGCCTCAAGGGCAAAGTGACAAAGGCATCAGGCTAATCTTTATATCTGAAAGGATTTTTAGCTCAAATAGGAGGTAAAACTATTGAGGAAAATGTGAAATCCTCCTTACCTACTGTTTTTAGCAAACTTCATTGTGGTCAGACTTGAGCAAACTGCAACTTGGCTATCCCTGGTATGTTTCAAAGGTTTATGATTAATTCTGCAGGACACTTACAAAGTTAAGGGACAACTCTGACCCAGGTTTTCATTTCTCTTTCTGTATTCAGTCTTTAAAAAAATTAGTCCCTTCTCTGCCAAATGAGAGACATAGAGATGACCCTTTCAGCTTTGCTGGGGGTGCCTCTGGAAAATAATTGGATAGGTTCCAAACAGAGCAGTAGGCTTCTTGGGGAACAGAGTTTTCAGCAGATCTAAGTCTTCCAGAGTCACTGTCCTTCCCTGGGACACCTCCCTGATATAAGTGAACTCTTGAAAAGCTTTTCCCTTAACCCTCTCCTCTAATACAAACCTGTGGAAAAAACAACCTTCTTGGTGATAAGTTTGTAATCTACAATAGAGAACTGTGGAAGTTCAATCTTTGTCACTCCTGTTACTGCATTATCATCTCCACGCCAGTAAAACTCAATGTCATCAGTTGTATATCCATCTGTAAGAAGAAACATACACACACACACAGATATACAAAACAAACAAACAAACAAAAAACAAACAAAACAGAAAGAATACTGGTTTAGAAGGCAAACTATAAAAGTAATAAAAGCTGCAGGTAAAGTCTGTTATGTGTTAGCTACCGTGCCAAGCACTTGGAGTCTTTTACATTTAAACCTCACAATAATCTCAAGTGTACGGGGAAGTGGCCCACATGAGGCAACAAAGGCTTGGAGAAATTAACAGTCTTGCAAGTAGGAAATGGTATAGTTGAGACTTGAACCCAGATTTATTTCATTAAGAATCTCCTTTTATCAAACATTATGACTTAACATTATCACATAACCCTGCATTGTACTCTAAGAGAAGACAAAAGAAGAGAAAAATCATTTAAGTTATCAGTTCAGTAATGAATGCCATCAAACTCCCCCCCATATAAAATATTTGAATTACAATATATCTGGGTTTCAAATCAGAAGAGAAGAGATTATGAAGAAGTAAGCGATCATTTTAAAAATATTCATACACATGACCTCCAAATTTAATTTGGTAACATATCTAATTAAAAAAAAAACCCAAAACAAACAAAAAAAACAACCCAAAACCAAAACTCTAAACAACATTAATTCCAATAGTTTTGAGGAGTAAGTATAAATGTTTAGTGTACATTGTACATGCACAGTGCATTTAGGAGGCATGTTTCCATTCATGCAACGATTATTTATTAAATAGCTACTATGCTTTCAGTGCACAGTTGCTGGGATTAGGATTCTGTATATTAAAGACATGTTCCCTCTTATAAAGATACTCTCAATTAATGGGGAAGAGTAGAATTTTAACAAATAAGCACAAATATAATCCTAACTAGTAAGCAAACATACAACTGCAATGAATAAGCACAAATTATATACAGAGAACCATGTAATGAAATCCAGCAAATACTATTTTACAATTTCATCCATCCCCTCCAAAAAATCCCTCACACAAAAAACCTGTATTACATTTGTATATATTGCAAGTGGATAGATATCACATTTACCTTTTCAAGTAACTTCTACATCTGCATAGCTGAATTTTTACAAGTCTAGGAAGAATATTGCTCTCCCAATTTCAAAATCAACAAAAAGAATTAAAAAGACTGCTGCTTAAGTTTTGCCTTTTCACATGTGACTACTTAGCGTGACATGGATGACTAGAATGCAAATCCCTTTGACTCTTAGCTCCAAAGGATTTTCAATAAACCAACTCTCTTTTCACCAAAGAGAGAGAATTAAATCTCTAATAAAAAAGTGGAAACAAATTATTTTCTCAAAGAACTAGGATATCCTCGATTTGAGAATCTACATCAATCACAGCACAACTCAGGTTATGACTTAATGTTTCTAGAAATCTGCACTTTCGTTTATTCATAACAGCAGTCATCTTTACCTGATGCAGAAATACAGTTTTTCTTGGAAGAGTTATTGACTATTTGAACTTCTGGTACCACAACTACAGGCTTTAGAATAATACATTATGATTTTTAAAAGGCTTTTTTACTTGCAAATACCATAAACTACTTGGGAATTAAAATTATGGAGTTTTAATTCACTACACACCACCAACATTTTATTAGCATGATCTAATCTAGAGCCCCTTGTTATGTTAGAGTGTCTTTTTATATATTTAAAACTTTGATTTAAATGCAAATTTCATGTTCATGGTTGAATGAAGTACATTCAAGGTATTCAGCTCATGACACAGTATAAACAAATCCTCAGAGAAGATCTCCTCACTTCCCGTTAATATTCTACACCCAATCCCAAAGTGAGATGCTTATTCAAAAGGATAACTGCACTTTTCTATGGTTTCAACTTTCCCAATATGGCCATGCAGACCCTCAGTCCCGGCCTCCATGTCAAATGCAATCCAGTTTCTCATCGATTCTTTATACAGACCTCTCAGTTACAAAATAAATCAAGGTCAATGACAATCCCACTTTTGACAAAACAGTTTAGAATAACAAAAGAAGGGCAATGACTCCTAGAATCAAACTAGGCAGTTAGAAATGCACTATAAAATTGAATTTGTAGTATATAAACACACACACACAAAGGTATTTATGAAACATGAAGGTAATCATTTCTCATGAAAGGAGTCCTAACCAAGATCCTCCTTGGCTTTTCCAAGAAAATACCATGCAGCTTATTATAAAATAGCAAATGCCATTTATTGTCAGTCAACAGCATGTGCTAGGCACTTTGTTAGCCAGACCTCATCCCTTCGTATGAAGAGTTAAACTGGGGACATTGGGTTTTATCATTTACTGTACCTAAGAATCTATTAGAGACTCTCATTGAGCTAGTCATGGGTTGCCTTGAGAATCTGATATTTTCTTTTAAATAAGCATCCCAGGTAATTCATGGGGCCCATAAAAACATTGAGAACTACTTATCTAGCAGATGAAGATAATGATGACAGCAATTTAGATAACTGCAATTATTTATTGAGTGTTGCCACTCATTTTACTAGAAACTGTTAAGCTCTTCACTTTTATTATTTAATTTGATCTTCACAACAGTCATTTTATAGGTTAGCACTATTTACCTATATTATTTTTAATACTGAACACCCACACTGCAAGTTAGATATTTTTATCCTCATTTCATCGTTGAGAAAAGTAAGACTCAGAGAGATTAAATAATTTGCTGAAAATCACACATCTGGTAAGTGATTGAGGAAAGAATTGATAGATTATCTATGTGACTGACCCCCAAAACAGCATTTTTCCATGGCACCTCCCTCCCACTACAAAATATAAGACATGTAATATGTTCACAAAACTAAATGTCCACTTTTTGTACAAACAAAAGCACCAATCTTCAAAAGGACAGAATGAGATAAAAGTGAACCCTCATTATTTCCCATAAAAGACTACGTCTAAACTAATGTAGAGTGTTTCTGGTCCTCCAGTTCCCTTTCCTCCTTACCTTTATCAGTATTTACCTTCTCTGTCCATCACTATAAATTTTATAACAGAAGTTACTCATAGACAGAAAAATGAGAATATCTATGGCATTTCGATAAGGTTGTTTAGGAGACACCTATTAATTGTTCAACAGCTGTAAATTTTTTTTGGTAGTTAGCATTATTTTATTTTATTTATTTTTTTATTTTCAATTATCAATATATGATGTAGTTGATTTTCTTGTCCCTTTACCTCAGAACTACGGACTTTTGTCAAAAGTCAAATATAAACAGTTTATTAGGCAATACTAGGGAATAGACCCTCTAAATATTGTTTGATTAATAAAATAATTATTTAATACACATGTGAATTTGGTCTGGTGGCTGTTTATGCAGATATTTTATCCATTGTGTTAATACCTCTGTCTCCTCTTAGCTGGTGCCTGGCACATAGTTGGCACTAAGTAAACAGTTTATGAGTGAATAAAATAAAAACAATAAGAGAGCCCTTAAGAATAATCCGTAGGTTATTCATTATACATTTCTCTCTATGTAATAGTTCTTCCTACGTTAACTCATTTCTCTTTGTCCTCTACTTTCCCATCTGTGAATTGGTATAATAATAATAATAATAGCTACTTCACAGAGTCGTCATACAGAAAAAAACAAAACAAACAAAAAAACTCTGTAAATATTTAGAATAGTACCTAGCAGATGATGATCGAAACATATAGCTGGTATTTTTTAATAAGAATTATTAAAAATGAATGAAAAACATATTGAGTTGCATACTATTTGTTGCTACTTTATGAACACACACAAGCATTTTCACGATGAGAAACTTAGTTGTTCAATCACACTTACAGAACTCTCTAACATGTTTGGAAATTGATGATAAAACATTTGAAGGTTATTTTGATGTCCAAGGTTTTGAAATCTGACAAAATGAAGAGCATATTGTATATACTTCTTCACTACTGCTAGCCTTAAGAAACCCAATCTTCCTGACTTAATTTGGGGTTAACCAAATATAGAATGATGCAAATGGAGAGCAAATGTATATTCTTGCATCATTGGTTTCTGAAGATGAAAGATGAACAATCCATGACAGTGGCAGGGTGTGGTCAATTTCAAAAGTCAGCTCAATATGCTGTGTAGGATTAGCTTAAAGCAGACCTAGTTTTATCCTCTTTGTTGAATCTTCTCTGGAGGAATATTTAGCAGTGTCTCAAAGTGATTAAAAACTAAAAAAAAAAAAAAAAGTGCAACTATATATGACCTGACTTTTACAGCTTTCATAATAATAATGAGTGAAAAAATAATGAGATTTCTTCTAAAAGATATCAGAAGGAGGAGATACACTGAAGCTCTTCATTAATATATTGCATATTAAAGTCATCATTTATATTTTATTCATGAAATTCCAGAAACTGAGCCATGAAATTATTTTGTATTGCTAACATCAAAAACATAACCCACATAATAAATTCAGATGGCCTGTGAATAAACCAAAATATGAATTTGCTGACATTCACCTGAAAGAATTAAAGCTATATGAAATGTTACAAGCCTCTGATCAGGAAACACAAATACTTACCTTTGTAAATCTATGTAAGATATAAATGATAGATATATTCTTTTTCAAAGATTGGTAAAAACATGCACTATATGAGATCTGAGAAGTAGAAATGCCATTTTAAAAACATTCACATAATAACTGAACGTGTTCTTACAATTGTGGCATTATCTTATTATATAAGATGGCATTTAAAAATATTATTTTCAGATTAGTGAAAACATGCACTATATGAGATCTAAGGAGTAGAAGTGCCATTTTAAAAACATTCACATAATAACTGAACATGTTTTCACTATTATGACAGTATCTTATTATATAACATGGCATTTAAAAAAGATATTTCTCTCTTTCCTGTCAATATACATGTCTATTTTGTTATCTACTGAGTAAATATTTCATTTTAGAATGATTTTCCTGTGCAGAAAATATGAACCCATACAAAGATATTAGACAGGAAATTAAAGTGACTTATT